GCACAATATAGCCTCAACATCCAATCTAACGCTGATCGTCTTCTCTATGATTTTCTCACTGTCACGTGTCTCCTGTAACAACCATGAATTCCAAAGAATAGCCAAGATGGATTTATTCCTTTCAAAGTATATTCTGGACCTGTTAATCTTTAACTTATATTTGCTTGGCTCAATGAAGAAGAATATCAAGAATAAACGATTTTACTAAAAAACTGACAAACTAAAACAGGGCTTTATTGTGAGGAATAACGTGAAAATCTGGAAATTGAATTTTAAAATAAATAGGTTCAACAGTGGCCCAGTTAATCTGAATGCAGTCTCAAAAAAATAACGTAAAACAGGCCGGCATATAAGATAAAACTAAAAAATCTTGGTACCAGGAAGGCGCAAATTGTTAGCCGTCTTGTGTATCAGACCAGACAGTGCGCGTAGTGTCAGCCAGACATCCGATTTGCCTATACAGATCAAAGGACCGTTGAAGCTGGGCATTAGGTTAGAGCCACTGGCCTCCGATGATCCACAACCAGACGGATTCGAGTCATAGTTTCCCAGCCAGCTACCAACGCCGCTGGTGGTCGAGTCAGAGTCGTTACCAGCGGTAGTGGAGCCTGTCAATGCGGAGGTGATTGGCCAGATAGAGCCAGAGTTTAGCTGCAGCCCAGCCAGCTCAAGGATGCACGGATGTGGAAGAACATTGCCGGCTGATAGAGCAAAGGAGAAAGTACAGGAAGTATAATATGTATAAAAGGAGGCAGCCTGACATGTAATAACTGATCTAACTTGTTTCAGTCTCAATGAGGTAGGACACAACTTATATAGGGCGGGGATATGAATAGGGTAGCCAAATGATGATGTATTCGATCTTAAAGTAGTAGGTAAGATAATGGGTATCATTAAGGGCTAGTGAAAAGGACCTATGTGGTGACGAAGAAGGAATAGAAGGTTTGGTGGCCGAAGGGAAGCTCACCCAACACGGAGGAGGCCCCGTATCCCATTGCGCTTGCTACCACATCGGGAGCACAATTGACCAATGCTTGTCCCTTCAAGCTTGGTATACCAAATGCACAGGGATCGCTGGAGCCTGCAAAATATTCAGAAGTCACGCGTGCGACAGAATCGAGTGGCAGCCACCAAGTAGGACATCGGTCGGCATGTGTGCCGACCAGAATGACCGGAGCACCCGCAGATCGGCACTGAAAGGGGTAGTAAAAGTGCGAAAAATCAAAGGAGTAAGACAGTAGAATGGAAATACATACGAAATGCAAAATCAATTTACGTTAAAATGCAATTACTAGATAGACACTGTAATTATTTTGAAAATATACCAATTCTATGAATATGCAGAAAGATGTATGGGGCATAGTTAAGTCACTAGAATAATAAGACCAAGCGGCTCCCTTATTATGTGATCGACCATTTAGGTCTGCCATCATAAGAGTGGTAAGGAAAACAAAACCATCACTCGTTGAAGCGTTATTCACGGTAGTTAAGTCACACTGAGTAAAAAAGTGCATGGGATTCTACTCAACCTACAGATGGGAAAATAGAAGTTCGCCGAAACCATCCGAGGGGCCGAAGGCGAGTCAAAATAGTCTATCTGTCTCTTCAAGTTAAGGCAACTAGCTCCTGAGACAAGACTTGGCTGTTATTGAGCCTAATAACCCTAAGTGAGATATTACCTTAATAATCTACTAGCATTCGAACCCGCTGCGGAAGCGAAAGTTGTTTTGAGACTGCAGAAAATAAAGATGGGGACGTATTGGACCATAGGCACCAACCATATAAATTTGACGAAGATATAAAGGACAAAATATTGTTGCATCTATTTCAATCGCAGTCTTCTTTAGTTGTATAGACATAATCTGACCTTGTTTTCACAACTTAATCGTGTTGTCAAGGAAGCCTAGTTGGACGCACACTGTCAGAAGTCCTCTACTATAGTAGTTATGATAATTCCCAGCGTTTGATCGTAGACTTGATACAATCCCAGGCGTTTTACCGCT